CTAAATACTAGCCAGCTATATGCGTTATCGCAATCACGTGACGCTAAATTTACTAGTAAAGCAGTAGAGCGTAATATCTCGTATCTTATGTTCTATTATTTATATTTTATTACTTATATCTTATTACTTATATCTCGTATCCCGTATTTCGTAACTATATATATAACTTCTAAAGAAATAGCTATACTAATATTTAATATATATTCTATAAATAAAAGTTTTTTAAATTAATTAGATTATAAATATTAGTAAATATAGCCTAGTATTATAAAAGAAAGAAATAATAGTTTTACTAGTTTAAATAATAAAAAGGGATTTTAAATAGCTATAAATAGCTATAAATATCTAATATTATTTTCTATTTAGATCTTAAAATAAATCTTTTATTATATCTCGATTTTATTTAAAAAAAATATAAAAATATAACTTAATAAATATAGAGCTATTCTTGAAATTAAAGGAAATAAACTAATTATATTTATAGTCTTTATTTTATATAACTTCTTTTATCTTAATATTAATTTCTTAATATCTAAGAAATAAATCTAATAATTTAAATATAATTAGAAAACTTATAATTTATACTAAAAGTAATAAGTTTATATTATTTATTTTAAGGAAATCTTTTATTTATTTAAGCTAATATAATTAATATTCTAGTATTAAATACTTATAGTATTTATTATAAAAGAAATATATATTATATAATTTAAATATTTTAAATATTTTATTAAAGAAGATCTAATTAAACTTAAGAATATAATAAAGAATCTAAGCTTTTATAAGTCTTTAATATTTTATATTTATAAAGCTTATTTTAAAGACTATATAATAAAAATAATTTATAAAAGATATATTATATTAGAAAAATACCCGAATAAACTAATTTATATAAATATAATTAGCTTCTTATATATAATAGAAAATAGTATAGAATATTTTTTCTATTTCTATTATAATAAGACTAAAAAAGTCAAGTATTATATTATAAAATATAAGTTCGAATTACTAGCTAAATTTAAATTCTTCTAATAATTTTATTATAAACGAATTATATAATTATAAATAAATAATAAGAGAGAATTTATTTCTAAGGCCTTTTAGCTTTATTTTATAAAAACCGAAGTTTATTTTAAATTATTTAAATTATATAATTCGGAAATAAATAAAGTTATAGAAAGAATTAAATAAATACTATAAACTATTATTAAAATACTTTTAAAAAATTCCAAATTCCCGAATAAATAATAGCCCGAATTACTCTAAATTATAGTTTATTTCTATATATAATAATTCTATAATATTTTTAATATAATACTTTTCTAAATAAAGAACTTTTATAAATTATTTATTAATTATTTCTATATTATTAGATTTTATATCTAGTTTATAACTAATAAATAAAATAAAAAGAAATTAAAGAAAAATTAAATAATAAAAGAATACTTTATTAGATATAAAAATAATAATATTTACTAAATTCTTATAAATAATAATTATATATTTAAGGTCTATATTATATATATTATAGAAAAGTTTTTTATATTTATTTAAGAAAAGTTTTTTAAATTCGGGCCTAATACTTATTCTAATATAATATTATACTTATAAATTTTTAAGCCTATAGCTAGTTTAAAATATTTAGTAATATCTAATCTATTTAATTTCTTTAAGAAATATATCTGCTATATTAAAATTATTTATAATAATAATATAAATATTTTATTAGATTTCTTTTAGCTATTATTATATAAGCTAAGAATCCTATAGCCTATTATTATATTAAGCCTTTCAAATTCATTTTAGAAATAATTCAGGTAATAGGCTCGATCTATTATTAAAATTCTATTAATAAGAAACTAATTAGAAAATTTTATTTCTATTTCTCTTAAATTCTTAATATTTTATAAATTAATTCTATTATTTATTTCTTTACTAGATAATTAAGTAAATAAATATTTTATAATCGAGTATTTTTTATTATTTCAAATAATAATACTAGTTAATAGCCGAATAAATAAATATTTAGACTTTAATTATTTAGACTTTAATTTTCTAGATTTTATTTCTTTTATAATACTATTAGCTATATAAAATACTAGTTTGAAAGTCTATAATAAATCTAAGCTTAATTAGTTCTTATATCTTATAGCTAAGATTTCTTTTATAGAAACTAACTTATTAGAACTATTCGAGCTATAATATTTTAAAAAAGCTATAATAGATCCGGACTTTAATAAATAAATAGATATAATAAAGAAAAAGTTCTCGTTTTTATAAAAGAATAAAACCTAAATACTAATTAACTATTTAATAAATTAGTAAATTCTATTTAATAAATAAATATATAAATATAAATAAGAATTATATAACTAAATTATCTAATATAAGGCCTAATAAATAATCCGGAAAAATTAATTAAAAAAAGAAATTAATTTTAATAAAACTTTTATTATAATTATTAAACTAATAAGCTATAAGCTTATTTTTACTATTATAGCTGCTTTTAATTACAAGATTAATTAAATAAATATTAAAACCGTATTTTTATATAAGAAAATAGAAGAAATAGTTTATATAAAATAACTAACTAGTCTTAAAAACAGATTAATTAAGATTTATAAACTTAATTATATATTTTATAATTTAAAGTAAATCTTTTAAATATAATATAATATATTATTAGAATTCCTTTAATAAATTCGATTTCTAATTATTAGATACTAATAATACTAGTATTTTTTATAAAAAGAATATTATTATTACTATTTATATAAATAATTTATTAATTACTAGAAGAAATTATAAAGAAATTAATATATTTAAATAAGTCTTTAATAAATGATTTCAAATAAGTAATCTTAAAGCTATTAACTTTTACCTAAATATAATAATTATATAAAACCATTTAAATTATATATTTTATCTTAGATAATAGTCTTATATTATAAAGATATTCCGGGATTTTAATATAGAAAATTATAAACCAGTTATAATTCTAATAAATTCAAATAGAAATAATCTTATTTTTATATTAAAGAATTATCTAGCTTTTTTATTTGAAATTAAGAAATATTAGAAGCTAATTAGCTTTCTTATATATATTATAGTCGGATTTTATTCTAATATTACTTTTATAATATCTATAATTAGTTAATTTACTATAAATCTAATAGCTAAATATATTATTATAATAAAAAGAATTTTATAGTATTTATAAAATATACTTATATATTAATTTATATATTATAGAGATCTTTAGATATTAATAGGCTATTTAAATATAAACTAAGCAAATAATAGAAATATTTAATAATTAATTAATAGTTTTATTTTTAATATAAATAATAGTATTATTAGCTAGTTTTTTAAAAAAAAATATTACTATTACTTTTTCTTTTTATAAATCCGAGATTATAACTCAGATATAAGTAGCTAAAGAAGTAATTTAACTAAATTATTTCCTGACTTAAACTCTTTAAAAGAAATAAATTATTATAATAATTAAAGAATAACTATATTTGCAAAAAATAACTAATTTTATATTTAAATAAAATATATTAATATTCGGAAAAAGTAAATATAAGAGGCTATTATAATAAAATAAATAGAACTAGAATATATTTCTACTAATTTTTAATTAATAAATAGGCTTATAAAACTACTTATAAGAAATAAATTCGAGTTCTTTTAAAATATAATTAGTATTAAGAAAGTACCTTAATTATAAGTAATAGAAAATAGAAAAAATAATATAAAAGAATTTATTTAAATATATAATTTTCCTAAATAAAATAATTATAATTACTATAACTTTACTTTTAATAATTTCATATAATTTTTAAAGCTTTTATATTTTATTTTAATTTCTTATAATACTTTATATAAGATCTAAAAGAAATTAAATATAGTAGTATTAAGAAAAAAAGCCTTTTATTTAAAATTTTATAATCTAATCTTTTTATATTTTAGTTATATATTAACTTCCTTTATATTAGTTTATTACTAGTTACTAAATAATTATAAATAGATATCTTTTATTTTCTAAAACTCTTTTTCTTTTTTAGTAAAACTTTAATTAATTAGAAACTCTTTGAAAATTTCTAATCTTATAATTTATAAGCTTCTAGCTCTTAAATATTTTAAAACTTATTTCTTAGTAATCTATTTTTCTAAAATAAATATTAATATTATATATAAAGAGCTTTTAGTAATAAAATAATTATAAAAGAATATTAATAATACTAAAGAAATATAAGATTAGATTATAATAAAGAAAGAGAATTCTAATATATTTATTTTTAATATTATAAAGAATACTAAATCCCGAAACTATAATAAATTTAAATCCTATAAATATATCCTTTATAGCTTATTCTATAACCTGAAAAGATTACTTAAAAATATTTTCGCCATAACCCCTTTGTAATCCCGTGTACTCCAAAGTATCTAAGCAATGTTAGTTAAATGTTGGAGTATTATTATAACGTGAGAGGATAGCCTTTACTCGCTACGACCATTCCTTCGTCCGCTGAGACATTGCCACATTAGCGGCCGCATATGAATATCCCTAATTCGGCCAAAACATAATCCGAATTAGGGATATTCATATGCGGCCGCTAATGTGGCAATGTCTCAGCGGACGAAGGGATAATAAAAAAAGTTTTAAAAAAAGGAATTGAAGCCGGGCAAGGAAAGCAGTCGCATTCATGAAGAGCACAAGGCTCCTCGACTAACTCAGCAGGTGCTAGCTAGCACCTCAAGCTCATAACTTCAACATACAACCCAGTCCTCTAGGTATTCTGCTTAGAAGCCGCTCCACGCACTATACGTTGGCCGACAGACAAATGGCTGCTTCCGTCCACACTTGTCCATTTAAAGCGTTCCAGTTGAGAAAAATTCACCTTCTGAGAAGTAGGGGAGTAGAGAACGTCGAGTGGTGTTAAGGTTGGAGTCTCGAAAGGAGTTAATTCAACTTTGAGCTCAAACACTTGCTCAGTCTCGGATGTAAATTCCCGATTTGAAAACTAGATGATACTATATCTCCTCGTGTCAAATTCTTAGAGAGCCACCTCTACCTCAGAAGTTTACCGCTTTCAATTGCAACAGTCCCAAGTTTGGTCATTACGAGAGCACTTAAAGCCCTACCGACGAGTCCAAAAGCAAGCTCCAACGCAAGGGCTCTGGAGTTCGAGAATCCACAGGATATCTCTGTATTCGAGAGAGCCAAACTAGTGGATAGCGAAAATCTTCAACGTGAACCAACCTTCCGTGCCCACTTCGTTTTCAGGAGAAACCTCCTGAATCTCAGATACTTTCTCATTTGCTTCAATGTGCGGAGAAAGCTCCCCAAGCCTTGACACTACCTGGTCGGTGCCTTCGGTGTTTACTCCACTTCCAGGAGGAACGTCCTGGATCCCAGACACCTTCTTATTTGGCACAATTTGCGGAGGAAACTCTCGAAGCCTTGAGACCACCTCTTCGTACACTTCAATCCTGGGTCGGGGTAACCAAATTCCTCCTACTATCCTACAATTGAGAACAGGCCAGGTTGGACGGCAAAGTTTGTTTCTTACCACGGATTCGAAGGCTCCGCTCTCGGCTGTTATAGGATGTATTATTACACAGTGCAACACGTTCTGACGCCTAGGAAGCAGTAATTCCACAACCAAATCGCCAGGCTGTGTTGACCTGGGCACTAAGACCAACAACCCGCTCTCCATGCGTGCCAAAGCGAGCTCGTCAATACTCTGACTCTTATCAGATGCAGAATCAATCTTCGTCATTATATATTCCAATCGTTTGTGGACTTCAAACAGGTTCGTAGGCACGAACAAGGGATCCTCAGTGGTAACCCTGACCAGGTGCAGCCACATGCGACAAAGGTCCTCGGAGTCCGGCGCTGGCAGAACATCCTGGTCTTTAATACCTTGCCGCCAAACGAGCTCATACAAATCCCTATAGCTCTGTTCAAATATCTCAAACGTGGATTCAAAAGGGTTTGCTGTGACTTTTTCGAACCGCATCAGGATATCGCGGTGTTTGTGGTAGAGTTCGGCGACTCTGGTGAGAGGACCCTTGACATGAAGCACGATGTCGAATTCAGCGCCTAGACAGGCTAGAATTGGAGGCTCGTGGATGAATATGTGCGTATTCGGAAGACTGGGATCGTCATCAAGAAACCATGTTATTGGCGCCTGGCCATTACCAAACCGAGCATAGACTGGCTGAAATAGGCTTCTGGATTTTTTTGCCATGCTCCAATCAGGAGTCCAGGAGGCTAAGCCCGTAACTCGAGCAGAAGGACACCCGTCACTAAGTTCGCCGAAGAGCGCCAAGTGGAAGCCCGTATCGATCATGGAGCGAGCAAAGGAGTGGAATACCTCTGCACAACTCATGGAATAGTTCACCTTCGGACCTAGTTCCTGCCCATCCGAGGCAAATCCAAGGTGTGCGAAGATCATGTCTTTCGGATCCGTGACTCCTAGACCTCTTCTGGCTCGCAGCAACTCCAACATCGTTAGGGACTCCGCTTTCACCTTAATCGGCAGCATTTCCGGGTCGGGATCTTCTGACCATATGGCCTTTTGATGGCTCTCGCGAGCTCGGTGCATTTGAGAGAGGAGCGTGGAACCATGCATAGCCTTTGAGTTGAGTCTTAACAATGTTCCTGAGTTCATGAGCGAAGACATCGCCTGGTGAAAGGTATTCCACGGAATGCGAGCCCTGCCGAACTGAACTCGAGGATCCTGTGAAAAGACAAGTTCTTGAAATACCCAGACACGTTGAAACCATACCTGATTTAGCGCAGTATGAACGAACTCAGTCAAGGCCGGTGACTGTTCGACGCTGGTCATAGCACATTGATTCCAAATAGCTTCGAATTCGGCAACAAGGAATCCCAGATATATCACTGTGTGATTCGCCACCGAGTATATCCTTCCCATCATCGCAACCTGTTTTAACTTCTCTTCGTTGTCGCATTGGTTGATACATATGGCGTCTGCCCAGAGTAGCAAGGCTTTCTTCTCGTGACGCAAATCCACAAACGCTGAATAGAGGTTGACCGTTATCGGAAGAGGGGTTTCGTCAACCCATATCACTTTGGTATTGTTCGGATCACCCCACACATATGAGACGGCAGTGTATTGATCATAGATATCCTCACATATCCTAAGTGTGGTGTGAATGAGCTCGCATTTCACTTCAACCTCCCTGGACGAGGCTGGGTGAAGATGGATTAGTCGAATACTATCAGCTTCTTCGAGCTGCTTATAGGGAAATACAGATATGGCGAGAGCACCTTTTGGCGTGTTGGTTGCCATTTTCTCTGTTTTTTGTGCAAAAAGGTAAAAGGGTCGGGAGGTTGCCAGGAACCCGAGAGCTGAAGTTGATGATGGTCTATTCCGCCCGGCTAAACCAAAAGGGTTCACCGGCCAACCGCCCAAAATCGCTACTTTCCAAAAATAATAATTCAATACCCATGTGACGGCTGGCGTAAGGGCATGATCTGCCAAGGACAGGATATCAGAAACAGGCATAAAACGAAGCTAAGCCGGAATTGCTTAGACGGAATAATACTAAAGGTCGAGGCATTCTCCCTACTTTATTCCATAGCTTATTATTTTCTAATATATGAGATTCTTTGAACTTTGAGCTTTTAATTATTATATTAATCCCGCCGTTATATAAAACTAAGCTTACTCGACTTGGCCTATAGAGATAATATAATACTGCCGGTAAAGGATCCGTATTTATTCTTGGAAAGTAAAGACAGAATACCGCTTTTAATATTCGATAACCTCCTTAAACTATAAAGAACTAGAGAGCTTAACTAGAAGTATAATATTTTCTATAACCTAGTTAATCTCGGAGCCTAACCCTTAACTAGAGCAGATAATATTTCCCTTCTAGTAATTAGTTCTCTACTAATATAAAAGAAGAAAGATATTATTCTTTATAACCCGGTTAATCTCGGAGCCTAACCCTTAACTAGAGCAGATAATATTTCCTTAATACTAATAAGAGCAAAAGAACTAGCCCCTTTCCCTAATATAGAAAGAATTAGTAGTAGTTTACTAATTTAAAATAAGAAAAGATAATAGTTAGTTTTAGTCTACTAACTTAAAACTAGATAAGATAATAATTAGTTATAGTTTACTAATATTAAATAAGAAGAACTTACTTAGTACTTACCTTTATAGCTAATACTTTTTCTAAAGCTATTATAAATAGCCCGGGGCCAAATACTATTATTATAAGTATATTAGATAAAAGGCCCTAGTATAATAAAATAAAAGAGCCAGACTTTAATATTATAAACCTATATTACTAAAAAAGCTATTATAATACTATTCCGGAAGAAGATATTAAGAAATAACTAGCTAACTTAGAACTTAAAATTAGTATAAATACTTTAAAAACAAATAAGGCCTAATAGAAATTACTTATATAAGATAATTTTATTAATAAATACTATCTTATAGCTAATAAATAAATAAAATATTACTAGAAATTTTACTTATATATTAACTAACTTACTAAGAAAGTTAATAAGCTAAAGGCAATTACTAGTTAACTTTATATAAGAGAAAGACTAGTATAAAAAAAAGTAATAAAATAAAAATCTAAATAAATAAATATTTAGGAATATTATAGATCCCTATTAAGAGAACTATTTAGGGGCTAATACTAAAGCTCTTTTCTACTTTTAGTTTATAGTAATTAATTATAGCTTATTAGAATTAAGGATCCTGCTTTATTTATAAATAAGAATAATTACTAGATTAATAATTAGATATTTAATATAAGAAATAAACTAATATAGAATTCCTCTAAATTTAATAGCAAATTACTAAAAATTACTTATATAATATAACTAGTTACTAGAAATACCCGTAACTTTATTTATAATTAACTAGAACCTGAATTAGTTAGATAAATCTTAATTATTAAATAGATCTTTAAGATTCTCTAATAAGCTTATAGTAAAAGTAAAGAAATAAAGTACTAGGAAATAAAAGAGGTATACTAGTACCTAAAATAAAGAAATAAGCTATTTCTGGTATTCTAGATAAAGTTTACTTACTTAATAATAAAACTAGGAAAGTTACTAAATAACTAATATAATAATTTAATAAATAAAATAAATCTCGAGTTACTTAAAAGCTTAGGTAATAAGAAGTTTAATATTTCCAGAAACCTTACTAAGTAATATATAAAATAAGAGAATAGGCTTTTTTTAATTAAAAATTAAAAATTTCAGAAAAAATAACTAGTAAAAACTTCTTGCTATTAAATACTATCTTGGGCTAGAAAGCTTACTAGAATCCAAGAAACTATAGTAATTCTATATCTAATAGATTAACCTTAGTAGCTAGTATTCTTATAACTAAAGAAAGTAATCTGCCGAGAATTTGAGAAAAAACTAGACTAGCCAGAGAGTTTTTATTATTATAGCTATAAAAAGCCTAGATATATAAAAAGTACCTATTCTAACTTTAATAAAATTATACCTATTAAAGAGGATTACTTAGAGAAAGCTAATAATTTAGAAATAAATAATAATAATACTAACTTTTATTTATTATTTAATAAGAAATATAATATTAATAAATCAGGAAAAGTCTAGCTCTAGATATAGAAATAGCTTTTCTAGAATAAGAACTTTACTAAAAACTTATAAATCTTACTTAGCTAATTAGTAGGAATTAGTTTCTTATTAATTATTAAGTATACTAGAAAAGCAAAACTATAATTTTCTAATATTTAGTAAATACTAAAGTAAATATATATATTCTAATTAATTAAAAATATATTTGCCCTTTAATAAAAGTATTATAAATACCTTTATATAAACTCAAAACTCTCGTTTTCTTATAAGGTTTTAATAAATAACCTAATAAAGCTATTTAATATCTAGCTACTATAAATCTAGCTATTAATTAGTATTTCTAAACTTAATAATACTTACTTATTACTAATTTCGGCTCTTATAATATAATTCTAAAAAGGAAATAGCTAATAAAGTATAATATTCTATTAGACTATTAATGGAATTAATTCTATTAGCTAGAGAACTATAAGATAAATTAGCTAGATCTTATTTAGAAAATCTAATATATTAATAAGAAATATTAAAAAGACAATTATTCCGAAAATACTCTAACTAGAATCCTAAAAGAAACTAGTAAAACCAGACCCGAGAAATAAAAAAAAAAATTTCTTATTTCTTTATAAGACCTTTTTATAAGGAAAGCCAAATACTAGATAAGAAAAGAAGAGCTAGACCTTAATACTCTCGAAATAGTTAAGCTACTAGACTATTTCTGCTATTTTATTAAAGTAGCTATTTTCTAATTAAGTATTAAAGATCCCGGTAACTAAATTAGATTAGTTACTATTAATGAAATCGATTATATACTTAAGAAATAAGGTTATAAACTAAAGAAATATCTACTACTACTTATAGTAATTAGATAACTAATACTATAGCTCGCCATGTACTATACTTAAACTAGTAACCTAATATACTTTCTAGATATAAATAAATCTAATATCCTTAGTAATATATTATCTTTTAATTCTAATGAATTTTAAGAGTTCCGGGTATTTCTTCTTATATAATTATATAATATAGCTAGGGCATTTTTTAAGAAAGTAATAAATAAGCTTTTCTAGTCTTAACTCTTTAACTATAAGCTCTGTTTTAATAGACTAGACCCCTTAATAAAGACGGCCTATTTCTATAAGATAAGCTCTAATAAACTCGAAAAAATAAGAAAGTATCTTATTAAGAATCTAAAAAAGAATTTTATTAAGTTATTTAAATTCCTATTCTTATTACTAGTCTTATTTATTAAAAAGAAAGATAATAGCCTATAATTTTATATTAATTATTAATATCTAAATACTATAATAAAAAAGAACTACTATTTCCTATTACTTATTACTAAGACTCTTAACTAATTAGCTAAATTATTAGTATTTACTAAATTAGATATTTAATATACTTTTAATTAAATTTATATAGAACTAGCTTCTATAATACAAGTAGCTTTTAGAATAAGATATGAATTCTTTAAACTAGTAATTCTATTATTTAAATTCTATAATAGTTTAATAACCTTCTAATAATATATTAATACTATTCTAATAAACTATTTAAATAACTTTTATTTGGCCTATATTAATAATATACTAATCTTCTCTAAGAATAAGAAGAAATATTAATAATATATTAGAATAGTTCTATAGAAGTTCTAGAATACCGGATTATAAGTTAATATTTATAAATATAAATTTAAAGTTTCTAAGATAATATTTTTTATAATATATATAGGATTATATATAACTTAAAAGCATATAATAAACCTCGGATATTACGGGTATTAATTAGGGAAATTAGTAGTTCTTTAACTTTATAACTAATTACTATTTATATTATAAGTATTAGGGTTATAAATTATTAATTATATATATATTATTAGGGCCTTCTATTTAAAGAAGGCTTTCCTGAACCTTATAGGAGAAATAAAGATTAGTTCTATATTAAATTTAATATTATAGTTTTATAATATATTAATTTATTCTATTATTTTATTACTTACTAATAAATATCTTATAAGCTAATCTTTCTATTCTTAAAGGAAGTAGTTTAATAAGTAATTATATCTCGAAATCTATAAAATATATAATCTCTTACTAGAGCTATTTCTATAAAGGAAATTAACTAGATTAATTCTAATATAGGTAATAGTAAAAGCTTGTCTAATACTTTTAATAGGGCTTTTTAGAAGCCTTTAAGAGCTAGTAATAATAATAGAAATAATTCCGGTAATAATTAAGATACCGAAATTAATACCCAAGTTACTATTACCTAAGCTATAAAATAGAGATTATATACTAATATTAAAGTACTCTAATAAAAGCAAGAATTAGTAAATATAATTAACTAATATATCTTATAATTAAAGTAGTATAAGAGTACTCTCAGGGATATCTTATAGTTTACTATATTTTATAGAAACTTTATTTATAAGTTTACCTTATTTTTTTTAGTAATTCTTATTAGGGAACTTCCTAAAATAGAATTAGAATTTACTTTCTTTCCTAATATAATAAGCTTTGAAAGTAATTTTAATACTATTTATTAGGAGCTATTATATAATATTCTAAAGATATATTTGGACTAAGAAAAGCTTTTTAAGATCCGGATATCTAACTTATATTATAGAAAGTCCCTTAAGAAATAAAGAATATTTATATTTTTCTAGGAAATATTTTTTAGGACCTAATTTTAGACTTATAATAGATATTTTTCTAGAATTAA